CTATGAAGGATGCTGCCATGTAAAGGAACGTGTAAAACGATGCGTCAGGTTAAAGTCAACAACGACACGAGAGGGGTCTGATGCCACTTATGGAGAATTGTTAAGTATGAGGATGGAAGACTGAATCCACAAGCGCTAAGTCTTTAAAAGACATACAATCAACCTTTCGAAACAATTTTCAATCATTTCTGACAAATAGCGGTTAATCTGCTCGATCCAAGCACTACCCTGATTTTTGTTTGGTTAAAGTGTTTCCGGCAATTCCGACCATGTGGCTTTGTAACCAGAAGAATCGAGAGATGACGTCACGTCCCGCGAGATTTCGGTAGGAAAGGCACAATTGCAGAATAAAGATTTTAATGCCTCATGGGTCTTAAAAATCCAAAAGGAAGTAGACGACGATTTAGAACGACATCAAAGGATTTACGAAAGGAAGAAAGAAGTCAGTGTTCAATAATCAGGGAAGGTCAAACTGCCAAACTAAGAACTTTGTATTTTTTCTCTGCTCACATTACTTATACTGTATTACATTAATTTGCATTATATTGAACTTTAATTCGTGTCTGCGTCTTGTGAATAGAACTAACAGAAATAACCTTGAAAACGTTAATTTATTACACTATACATTTACTATAAACATTCAGCAGTAAAATATGATTAACGGGTCAGTGAAAAAAATTCGTGTTACATAAAGGTTTACGGAAAATAATTCTTACCTAAGTTTGGGCCTGTCTGCAAGCATGTATACAGTACTAACTCTCTGAGGAAAGCACTTATTTGAGTAAAATTTTAGGAAAGCCAACATCTGACGTTACATACGAGAAGATAAAATTATCTGATCGGAATTCCGATATCAGCGTGTATAAAGTAACGCTGCTGTAGTATTTACCGTAAAACAAAGTGTGCTGGTTTACAATGTGACGACACGCTGATGACGCATGCCATGGAAAATGAACAATTACAAGGATGTTTAAGAAATTATTTGCTGAAGGGATGATACCAGATAGTAGACAAGTGTTTTTCCAGTTGACGCCACGAAAACTACAATACAGTTCGAGAAAAAGGTTAAATACTACATCATGCTAACTAATGCAAGCTGCTTAATGATCCACAATCAAAAAACCAACATTTTGCCTATGAAGACATTGTCATTTTTTGGCAATAGGCACAGCGCCTTTAGAATTGCATAAAAATGAAACACAACATAGCAAACATCCGAAGCAGGTATTACAGGTACAGGTCATCACAGACTGCTAAACGTGATCGTCGCTTGCATCACAGGGATCAGGGAACGGTATAAATCAGAATTTAACCTGCATCACATGTAAGGCCTAAAATGCAATAGAAACGCCTAAGCAGCTATGTAGAACAGAAACATTAAGTAGTGAATCGTATAACATCCATGACAACCCACCTAGAAGCGTTACAGTGAAATTAATCATTATGCAGTTGTCTGAATGATTCATGGTTCGGAGCACCAAACACAGCAGGTGGCATCCAGTTTAACGCCCACAAATTTCACTGCACAAACACTGGTATCATCAAGGCTGGATCCAGATGACAAGATCTTGAAGAGGCAACACGAGACACAAATCAAGGAAAAGACCAACGACTATTTCTACCTGCCCTGACAATAATAAAACCAAACAGCAGGTGTTCATAAACTTTCGTAGTTAATTACCCGTAGTTTTGAACATAATGCTTATCAATAAAATTTGAATATGATGTTGGGGGAAATACAACGTATTAAACAACATTTTACTGATAGCATGGAAATCACACAATACCTGTAAAAAAAGCGCGCAATGACATAACTTGCTGTCTTCTTCTGAATTTTAAGCGAGATCCCATACTGAATTTTTTTCTTTACTCATACGATTTCCCTAAGATCCGGCATCTCAATTTTCAACATTAAGAAAGGACAGTGGGGCATTAAACGTTAGAATGCAACACTTTAAATGAAGAAGGAAAAAGAACAGATAGGTAAGATTAAAATGAAAAAATAGACGGAGAGAACAATGTAAAAGTGGAAGAAGATCAACGAGAGGATGAAAAACAGTTATGACGAAAAATAGAAGATTGACAGAAACGACAGTTAAGCAGAGGGCGATGAAAAACGAAGGGAAAAAGAAAAAAGAAAAGGAAGACAACGAGAATCAAGTAACAAGCAAATAGGATGTTGGAGGAATAAGACAAATAAGAAGGGAGAAAGACAAAGAGCAGAAAGAAACAAGAACAACACAAAACGAAAATTAAGGCATTAGTGAATAGAATAAAAATAGAAGATTAAGGTATCCGTTGTTCAATAATTATTTTAATGGCCTAATCTTTAAACTAAGTTGAACATCAAATGACAAAGCAAAGTTAATGAAAGAGTTTCTACCGATGAAGACTGTTTTGAAAATTTACGTAATCTGTTTTGGTGTTTGCTCTACATAATGTGCTGATAAATGATAAATAATCCGTCTCATCACAAACGATAAACGAAACTGAACTGAGAAAATGAGCAACTGGAAAAAGATAAAAAAAACAAGAGGAAAACAGAAAAACACAGGGATGAATGGAAAATGGGCTGACAAGAGAGAAACAACAAGCAAAAAGGCGAATAATGAGAACAGTGTGTTACGGTGGAACTGAAACTGGTACTAGACACAAAGAAACAAACAGACGATGTTTCGGCAAAACGACAGCTACGACGTTGTAATTCGGGACTGTTTGAGCTTGTTGCACCTATTATTGGGGGGGGGGGACGATTATTCGGTTTTACCAAATTTATTGTTTGCTCCGATGATGGCCAATCTAGTTTGGCTGAAACGTCGGCAGTTCCAGTAAAGACTACCCACCGTCCATCTATTCTGTTGAATATCGAACCACTGAAGTACCAGTTGATTAAGATATACGATTTCGAATGGTCATACATAAATCTCAGCTAATCCACCCTTTGATGACAAAATGAGATCAGTTTATTGCAATACATAAAAATAACTCTAGTATTATGAACTTAGTAGCAAAATGTCAGTTTTATATACCGTCAGTAAGAATAATATTCTCCTATAAATTCTTTGGATATTTTCAAGGCGCAGATGCCCCGTACCTCTGCTTCTAGTCGCATAAGTCGTGTACCTAAGCAATATAAATTCGAAAAGTTGACAAGAGATTTCACTGAAGAAGCAACGGAACTGAAATGGATTTCAGAAATTAGAATAAACATAATCTAATTCGCTGATTGTAGCCAAGGATTCGTCTGGAGACTTTGATTACAATGCGACCTTTTGGATAACAAATACATCCTGAAAATTAACAGTCAACGTGAAAGTTAAGGCGTTCGATATTCACCTCGAGGTTTCAGTTATTCAATTATATAACTTTTTCCTTATGGTACGACGGCACAATCCGTAGCAGAAATTCGCAATACATCATATTCGTTATTCATCATTTGGAAAACAAGGCCAGAAAAAAAACCTTTCTTATAAATTTGCTGGAGCAGTTAAGACTTAAACTTTAACTGGCATGATTCGACTTAGGGGTGTATCCGAGCACTAAAGGTGATGAAATGCCGCAGTGCCGCTCCTGCATAACGCATCAACTAGAAATGCAGGAACATCAGGACAATGTCATATCGTGATATAAATCGATGTTGACGGGAGAATGCATATTAGCGATTCTATATAAACACATGTATGGAGTGAGCACACAGAAAACGTTTTATGTAGCCAAGGGTGTTAAATAAATCAAGAGTGCCGGATAAGCACCAGAGACTTATATCATATGGAATCATTTAACGAAAGGAGTCTTGTTTTTCATACAAGTTTTTATTGGTTTTACTTTTTTCTCAACTCAATGTATTTTACTTCGTGAATCAATAACACTAAAACAAATTCCTCTGGACAGAGAAAATGAAGAACAAGAGGGTAATGTACAAAAGAATATTCAAAAAAAATTGCAGAAACATTTAACGTGATGAAAGGCAATATTATACATGATGATTCAGTTGTCAGAGAATGGACGGATAACAATACTCGGGATTTTTCGTCTTCTTCTTCTTCTTTTGCTTCTACATCAAATCCAATTACGAACCAGAAACAATAGGACGAAAAAGTAAGAGGAGGTGACAGAGGCATTGTGCGTATCTACAGTATTTCTCAAGCAGCTTGAAGCAACATGATGTCTTTCATCTGAACGGACAACAGAAGATATCGCGAACTGAATGAATGAATGAATGAATGAAATGGACCATTTGTATAAGCGCATGAATTTACCGAATGTTTACTCTTTATGTAACCTACCAACACATCGGCTAATTTAGTAAATAGACCAGAAGCAGCAGTTGTGTGGAAATAGTTTCATAGTGTATGAAAGAAAAGGAATAAATATATGAATCGCTGATAACTGCTTGATGGCAAAAATATGACGGATATACGTATGAGGGGGAGGTGCAGTTTGCCAGGTTAAGACTAATCTAACCGTTGCGATCAGTAAGCCAGGATGAAGTGAGTCATGCCTCGTAGGCGCAGCTGCATCCAACGTACAGTCCAGTTCAACACAGCACAGTTTGGCTGTAGACTGGTTAGTTTTGCGCACTTACTCACCGTCATCGTCATACAGTAGTTTTCGCGAATGGCGCCACAGCAGCCGAAGAAACCCAGAATCGCCACGATGCATCCGCTAACGATCAAGATGATCGGTGCCGATAGAACCGAGTTTCCCAGAAAATTGATGTATGTCGAATTCTTGATCTGAATCAGAGCCCCCGGCACGATCAACGCCAATCCACACAGCTGAAACAAAATAAATAAAAGATAGAAATATAAAATTAGAATATATAAACTAGTACAACAAGCAGTCATAACCAAGGTAGCTAAACATAACAGTTTATATTACAGGTTAACGAATTTCAAGTCTGAAAAGCCAGAGGGGCGCAGATTAAAGTAAGGGATTGTCTGCCAGGGGAAAGAGAAACAGAGTTCTGCTTTGCTGCTTTAATTCTTCTATCAACAGCAAGACAAGCTGAAACACTAGG